GCAAGCTGTGTTTCATAGGTTGATCTAGAACAAATTCTGTGTTCAGGAAAGTTATTGCAATTTTTAGAATAGAGGAAATACTCAAATTAAAAATGAGGAATTAAGAGGCTAATGCTAACCCACCTATTTTTATCGAAATTTATTTTATTATCATACTGAATGTTTTTATTTTTCTATGTTTATTAAGTTTTAAATTCCATTTTACATTGCTTTACAATTAAGAAAATGTGGATTATTTTATAAGCATTAAATAATTAATTAATTTTAATACAAATTTTATGAATATGTAAAAGAAAATTTTGGTTTATTTTGATAACAGTAAATTTTTATGGAAGACTTTCAAGCTAATTGCAAAATATTATGATTATCATACTCAAGCAAAGATTTTACAGAACTCCATTATTTATTGAAAAAAATTAGGACATTCCATACAGTATTTTACAGAAAAATGAACTTTCAGAAATTCAATAGAATTTTTATTGTTAAAAATGATATCTGCAAGATTTTGTTATTTTAAAAATTATTTAGATCAAAATTTTGAATTTTTTCTTTATTTTTTATTTCTCTTGTTTCGTTAATTCTTTAATGCATTTTTCTAAAAAGGCTTTTCTGTCACCAAGCCTTTTTCTCTTTGAAAGGAAGGATTATGTAAGATAAAAAAATACGTAAATCAGGGTTATAATTTAAATTAGCAATAACCTCCTAGCAATTCCTCATTTTTAATTTGGGTATTTCCTTTCTGTATTCTAAAAATTGCAATAACTTTCCTGTACTGTTTCATTTCTAGGTCAGTCTACAACACATGGCTTCCATAATGCTGATGGCATATCTAATTTGGAACTTTCTTTTTTGCTTATTATGTGCTCCGCCCTTAGGCACTACACGGAAAGGGAGGGATGCCCTGCGGAGGTCTTTCTAAGGGAAACTGGCTCGTATCCACTTTACACATGGGGAAAACCATGAAAACGTCCATGCAGCCAGCCCGTTCGCCGGGACTCGAACCCCAGACCGAACTACCATTGTTCAGTGGCTTTTACCGCTTGGCCGCTGGTGGGCTAATTTGGAACTTGAACTCAAAATTTTGAGATCTGAAACTTTTCTAACCTAAACAAAAACCTTACTCTTGGTGAGCCTGTATATTGGATAATTGCACACTTTAGTTTCTGTCTCCTTTTTCTTTGTTTAGGGCTTTAGAAACCAGGTGTATCATAATTGAAAATTGCTGTAATTGTCAGTATATCTGAACTGATTCACAATTTTGGATATTAAATTGTTAAGTAATATAAAGGAATAATCACTTATAAGAAAATTATTAGTCTGTTCCATCTAGAAACATCTTGCTTGAATTTTGCATTAATGCAGCTTGTAAAAGCAACATAAAATTATTAACTAACCTTTTGTTAACTACACATATTTTCAGTAAATATGTAATAGGAATTTAGTTAAAGTGAAATATATGTTCAGAAATTAATTTTCACTGTTTCATATAAAACTAAATTTTACTAACATAATTTTGTTAAACAAATATGCATGTTTATGATATTTGCCAACCGATACGTGGATTTGAATTATTTGATTAAGGGAAAGCAAGTAATGACTGTATGCCTATGGAAAGAGATGTCTTTGGGGAGGATCTGTTAAGGGAACTGGTCTTTTTTTTTTTTTTTTTTTTTTTTAAATATTACACAGTAAATAAATCGTGAAAATTTCATTCATAGTCTTCCCATTTTAATTCCATTTTTCAACCTTAGCTGGTAGAAGTTTGACTCTGATTCATAACCATCCTGCTTAATTGCTGTGTGTACTAAATTTTTTCAGTAATACTACTCATGGCAAATTAGTTTATTATTTTTTTCAATAAGTAATTAAAGAACACTATTTACTTAGAAGTGATTGCACCTGTACGATATATTTTCCAGAGATTCAAGTAAAAGTAAACAAGCGTAATTTTATAGTGTGTGTAGATGACTTTTCCGGAAGAAGGTTAAGTTATTTGGATTATGGCAAAGCACACAAAGGCTATATGCTGAAGAAGAGAGATGCTTTCATGAAGGGCTTTTTTAGGGAAACTGGCTATTTATATTACTGTGGGGTAAGACAACAAAAGAGCCTACAAAGCCAATATGTTTCCTTAGATTTAAACCAGGGTCTAATGTTGATAGTCTTACTACTCAGCCATTGGTGGACTTTGAGTGCATAAAATTAGCCTTCTATTCCATCCGAGAGCATTCTGCATTATTATTGAAGGAAGTTTAAATTGCAGTAATGATATTAACTATGAAATAGGCCTTTATTAAATACAACCTATATTTTCAATAAGTAATTAAAACACATTATTTTTTTACTAGGGATGCACCTTTCTGAACTAGTTTCCATAGTACCAGAGAGAAATAAACAAGCATAATATTATTAAAAAGAAGTGACTGAATATAACTGTTGCCAGCAGAAAAATGGGATTATTTTCTATCTGAGATCATCCTGCATAACTGATTACTGAGTGAAATCTAACTCACAGTAACGATATCAACTATGAAATTATTAAATATAATTCATATTTTAATAACTAGTTAAAGCATATTTTTTTTACTGGTGGATGCACCTGCACAAAATAGTTCCCATACCTTCAGGCAGAAACTATATTGAAACTATACTAAAAAACTACATTGTTGCATTCTACGGGTTCGTGGATTTGGAGTGATTGACAACAACACTTGACAAAGAATCAAAACACAATTTATTTGCCAGTATTTCACAGGAAAGTTCTAAAGACACATTTACAATCATCGAAAAGCTACAATAAACATGCTGAAGCAGTCAGCAACTCAGCCTTCCAGCTATCACACTATGATGGTGAAGACAGCTTCGTAGCAAAGCACTAAATACAGCTCCCAACTCTGTGGATTACTCTCGTAGCTAAACACACTAAAAATATTCTTTACAATACCCACTACTCCATGTACAGGCAAGGTTTATATAGTTATTTTTTTACCTGCCTTCGAGAACATTCTGGGGTAAATCAATAAGAAATAATTCTAGAATGCTCTCTCTCCATTGATAATTTTATTGCCAAATGAGTGATTTTGCATCAAATCTAGTAACATGCATCTCCTTGCCATTTTCTGGCAACCCTAAACCCATTTTGTGGCGAAGCTATCATACCACAGCTGGCTATTTTGTAACAATGTTATTATTAAACAAAAGTGTCTGAAGATCACGATTGGCAAAAGAAGAATGGAATTATTTTCGATCCAAAATCATCCTGTGTAATATTAAGCAAACTCCAACTTTGCAAAAATGTTATTAATTATGAAATGGACATTTATTAGCATGTTGACTGCAACAGCGAAATCAGATAAAATCTCTGTCTGGCCAATTTTTAATTTTACCCCTTTTTCCCCATTTATTCTAAAAATAAGTTCAGTACCTAGTTTTCATTTGAATTCTTATGTTTTGTTCATTTTTATATTCCATTTTGCATGATTCTAAACTTATTAAACTATTTTTTATATTTGTAAATAGATTAGAATTCACCATAAAGTAACACCATAAAGTAATCTTATCTGGGTTCTTCTTCAGAAAACTTCATTGTCTTGATAGTAAAAAATGAGTAAAATTAGAAACTGCTGCAGTATATAAAGCATATTTGTAATTAATAGTTAAAGTAAGTTTTGCTGCTTATGCAGGAAATATTTTGGGTAAAGATAAATATGTGCACATTAAGCAAAAGTATCAGTTGATTGCTTGTTTAATTGAGCACGGCAAAGCATATAAGGTTAAGGATGTCTTTGAAACTTTGTAAGAGCAACTGGTTTGTATTCATGGAAGGAAAAACCATAAAGATATCCAAACATCTAGATTGTCCGCCGGAATTCGAACCCATATTAAAACCACTATTAAAAATAAGTCTACACTTAAGCCAGAAATTTAATTCATTTGTAATTTTAAATGCCATTATGTTATAGCTGCAAACTGGAATAAATCACCAACTTAGTCAGTCATTAAAAGGTAGCATAAATTTTAAATTTATAAAGATCTTACGCTTTCTCAAGTGACAATATTTTGTGAAACTGCTCTATGCGAGGCCACATGAAAGTTTAACTAAGATCTTATATTTCGTGCACACACAGCACTTCCTGGAAGCTGTTTCTTGATTATTTACATTCATTTCATGCATCAATTTCAGAGACATGATCATGTCAGCAAATATTGTTTTCCTAGGACAATGATTGATATCTTAAATGAAAGTAATGCATCTGCCTCAAGGCGTAATAAACTGTGAGTAGAGGTGTAATTGCATTGTAATTCTAGTTAATGTACATATACAGTATAATTATAATTGTGGCTATATATTCTAGTTGTAATTATAAATTTTGCAATTATAATTATGTTGTAATTGTACAGTTTATAAAACAGTTACATATTGTAATTCCACTTACATTATAATTGATTCAACTGCAGTTAATTGTGTGATTGTAATACAATTACTTTGTGATTGAGTAAATTGTATTACAATTACACTGTAAGCACTTAATTTATAATTAGATCGTAATTGAAGGATTTCAAATTACTTGTATAATGTAAGTGTTTTAACTATAATTGCAGTTATATTGTAAATTGAATTAGCCCCAACTCTGGTGAAAACTCGGCGCCCAAATTGTAGAGTTGGACTTTGTTTGCATGGATGCTGTTTTCAATTTCATACATCCTAAATTTTTTTCGAACATTAATAATTCCGTGTTCTAATTAAGGTTTTTTATTAAAGTATTTAGTTTAAAAGTTTAATAATTTTTTCCTATAGAAATTGTGAATTGTGTATAAAATTTAGTTTGCAGAAATGTTTATTATCATTTGTGGGAAGATATATACAGAACACTTGTCCTAACATATTAATTATATTTTTATTTTATTAATAAATAAATATTGTTATTTTCATCAATTCATTATGTATCTGTTTCCAGGTAATTACTTCCTTTCTAATACGTGTTGTGTATTATATTTAGACACACATGGATGCAACAGCTGAATTATTACGAGAAGAACTCCCTCCAAATTGTACATTAAAATCACCAGCTAAGGTACTTCTGAAATCCAATGCTGTCTTTGATTATGTTTTCGATTAAGAAAACTGTGTTAAACATTTTTATAATATTTTATTTAAACTGCATTATTAATGTGACATATTTTTTAGAATACAGTAGAAGGACAATGTGGAAGGAACTAATGTATTATGATTAATGTTTTAAATTTTTGATTGGCAGTAGCATGAGCTGTTTTCCATTTGTTATAAATAAACTTACTAAAATTAGGTTTTTTATATACAAATTTTAGCTGAATTGTATGTAAATATCATGCTGCATTAAAATTTGTGGATACACCATATTCAAATGTATATATACATTTCATTCTTAGAACTTATATATAACATCAGTTGCTGTTTATTCTGTTTCATTCCATTTTTTCATAATTTTGAAAATCATGTTTTGTCCCTTACTCTTAATTAAAAAATATCTTTATTCTGAGGGAAAGGACTTTTTGCCTTCATGCTCTCTAGAAATGCAAATTCGACGGTAATGTAGATGTTAAGATGTTGGTTCTTTCTGATGAGTTATTTTAAAGAAATCTTATCTGGGTTCTTCTTCAGAAAACTCTCAAATTACGTTGACTTCCTTGTAGATGTGCTGCTGGATATGTTGGGACCACTCATGAGACACTTGTTTTTGTAACTGTTCTAGTATCATCCTCTTCAAGCTGAACAATGAAATTCTAGATTTTGACAAAGTCTTGGCAGTAGTATACTGCATCAGAAGTCCAAGTATCCCATCTGGCAATCACAGGCTTTCAAGGAAGGACAAATTGATGACTTGCTAATCCATGCTGGAGCACCGAAAGATGCTTCTGAAAGCAGTGAATTGATTGATAAGTATAGTTCATTGAAAGAAATGAAGTAATTTGCAACCTCATACTTTTCTCTTATGACAGCACAAATTCTTGGTAACATGGTGTAAATTAGGATACAGAGGTTTCAGCTATGAAAAAGGGTTCCACATGCAGTATGCCTAATTGGTGATGACCATTAACTATACATTTTCATTTCAGACTTCTGTACATAAATTTGAATTATTCTCTTTTTTTATTTTTTTTTTTTTTTTTTTTTTTAGCATTACTTATATTAATTTGTTTTCTCAAAATGGTACATTTTGTAAAGCTTGAAATGAGAGTATTTTATCCTCAAAGGTGCAGTACAAATAGATAGATTTTACTTTTTTTTTACTCTTTCGAGTATTTGTTCTTCAAGAATGAATGTTGCTGAACAGTCTTCAACAATGCTTTCGATCTTGAATACTAAGCTGTGTAATTTCCCATTCGTATAGTTGTTGTTGGTTTCAACTATAATTCTTCATTGTATTTTTCTGAAAGTCCTTTTAAAGAAGGATAATTTACTTTAGGTAAAGGAATTCCCATTTTCATTAGAGGAGTGAGTGGGATCAACATTAAAAAGTTAACTTGATCAAGTTACTTTTGAAAAAAACCTCTTTAACCCTCCGAGTGGAATAACTGGTTTTATCTGGTCATGAGATTTTTTTGTCACTTGGTATATATTAGCTTAGGATTTAAGATATTTTGCTTTCTCACTTTCTTTAATGATGTAAATGTCATCTTAATGAATATTAATTTATGAAAGTAGAGATTAAAATAAGTAATTATTCAAATTTAGCTCATAAATATGTAGTTTAAATACAGGTGTTCATGACAGATCCAAGTACCTACGCCATTCACATGGGTAATGAACAAAGTTTTCATAATATTCCATTCACTTTCTGTTCTCATCTCAGTTCTTTATCTTTTTATGCATTGCAGATTCCATGTCTTTTCAATACCAGCTTTAGATGTCTAACATACACAGGTTTTGTTTTTCCTGGCACTATGTGCATAAAATAAAATTTTTATCACTTTTGCTTGATATTCAGACTTTTGTAAAATGCTAAAAAATTTAGATTTTGCAGTTTTACTCATTATTCATTTTCTTTTTTTCTGTTGTTACAAACATTTTACTCAGAGGAGCATAGCATTATTCCAAGGATGCACCAGTTACAACAGCCACATTGCAGAATCTGTGGGAGATCTGGCATTTTTATAATAAATATAATTGTCTCTACACAAGCTTTGATTTTGTAGTTTTCAGTACATTAAATACGTGTTGAATAATAATGCCATCATGTATCAATAACTATAAGTAATTTTCTCTTTCCTGTGCTCATTTCATTTCTGTTGTGTTGCATTTTGGCTTTTCAATATATATTACATAATGAATTTAGAAATTAATAGCTTTCTTTCACAGCATGGTTTTAAACATCATTTCACAATTAATGAATTAGTTTTAAAGAATTTTTAATGTTTCATAATTTTAGAAACATCAAAAGTATTTTCTTGATAATTGAATGTTATATTATGTAAGAAAATAGTTATTGGTAAATTTATGTAAGAAAATAGTTATTGGTAAATTTCACATATTGTAATTAAATAAAATAAATGAAGACAAAAATTTAATGCAATTAATATGCCATTGGTTTAAGTAACTTAAGCTTTATTAAAGCAGTGACAACATTTATTTATTTTTTAAATTTTAATGTTTGAAAATATTATGAATTATTTAATTTTTAATACCAAATATAGTCAAACTTTAATAAGCTGAAATGGAAGAAACTTTTTAAAAAGAGAGGAAAATCCTATCACTGGAAAATTTGATTTCTTTAATAATTTTTAATATTGTAGAACTATCAAAACTTTAAAATATTCAAAATCTTGAACTGAAATGCAATTGAGGTGTAACAGTGTGTAATACTTAAAGTATGTAAGTATGTGTGCTTAAAGTATTTCAGTCATCTTTAAAATTTTTAGGGTGGCTATTTCCTATGGATAGAATTACCTGAAAATATGAGTTCAAGTAATTTATTGCCATTTGCAAAGAAAATGTATGAAGTAGACTTTATGCCAGGAATTAGGTAAGACTACAATTAGTATTATAGGTTGCCAAACTTTGAAGATACTCATGAAGCATACTTGATGTAACTTATAGCTTTGTTGTATATACTATCATATAAGCATGGGTTCTTAATAATTACATGTTAAAATTTAATTGAGTATTAAAAAACTGGAGTATTTAGTGTTGATATGTCAGTATCTAAGTTTTATTATGTTGGCATGCAAAGAGAACAGAGCTGCTCTTGAAAGTTATATCGTTAACACTGAATTGGAAATCATATAAGGTATTGTATAAGTATAGATTTTTGATATCAGAATTTGCCTACAGTATAAGAATATTAAAATCAGATGTTCACGAATTTTTTAAAAGTTAACATGCTCATTACAAACTTGCAGTGAGTTTCATTCTTTATTGCATACGGATTACGATTCTGTGATTCTAAACTAATCAGAGTATTGTATAATAGAGAACTAATTTATTTACAGGAATCAACTGTATATTCAGTTCTAGTACATGCTCTCGCATGTTGCTTAGCCAAATCCAGATGGCCAAGTGCCAATTTCTCTCTATATCCAATAGATGGCTCTGTATTCTAACTTAACATGTCACCGCCCATTGAAATTTCAAATTTCAATATGCAAATTACAAACAAACGTACAATTTAACAATTTAAGAACAACTAATTCTATAGTATAAATATAAAAGCTAATAGGTTTTTTTCATTATAAATATAATATAAAATAAATATAACATTTTAAGATCGTAAACATTCAGTATGCTACAATCTAATTTGCTCTTTAAAACAGTTCCATTGTTTCCATATAATATAAAATAAATATAACATTTTAAGATCATAAACATTCAGTATGCTACAATCTAATTTGTTCTTTAAAACAGTTCCATTGTAATATAAAGCATAATTTTCAATAAGAATACAATAATGTAAAGCTAAGCATTGTTATCCTGGATATGTAATAAACAAATTTTACTAATACATTAAATATATACACCATTTGATGTTTTCACTTTAACAACTCTGGTTTTATTATCAGGTAAAACTTCTACAATTCTAGCTAAAGATCATTTAAATGGTGAAAGGTTACTGTATTTGACGGCATATAAGATGCACCCTTATTTAGAAGGCCACACAGAAGGAAAAAAAGTTTAAATAGTCCGCGCGAGGGTGCGGTACCACAATAACTTAAAATGTGGTTTCTTTCTCTTTCATCCATATTTCCTATTTGACCAAGCTCAAAAGAAGTTTTCTTGCGTGCATTTATAACAAACCTATGAAATGCTAGTATTTTTCTTCATAATCTGCTGGCATTTTCTGTGCAATAGTTGTTTTTGTGCGCATTGATAAGCCTTGCCTTTTCATGAACCTGTAGCACCAGCCCTCGGACCCTGAAAAGTTCTGATTACCATGTTTTTCTGCAAATCCTTTGGCCTCATTGATTATCATTTTGGTTGAAACACATATACCAGATTTTCTCTTATCTAGCACCCACATTTTAAGGCATTTTCAAGTTCAGGCCAAGATGGAGCTGGGCATCGAAGGTTATGATTTTTAGCAGTCTTCAGTTGATCTTCCTCCAGTCGCCAAGTACGTATCATTTTTTCGGTAGGTGGTGGACCAAAATGCTGCTCTGTTTCAACTTTGGTGCAGTTTAAACACTGCTAGTTTATACTGAATTGTATAGCTTAATCTCTTGTTTCCTGTAGTCATATTTTCCAGGGTATTTTTTTTAAACAAATAGTTTTAAGCACCTATACCGACACGTTTATACAGAGTAGCATCGATACCGATACGCGTGTTGGCTGAGTCAAAGGAAGCCTATGTAAAGAAGGAAAGGCTCCATAGACGTAATGTCACCTCGAACCTGTTTGAACTTCGACATCAGCTTCGAGCTTTGGCGCTTTTAGCGACAGATATTTCATGCATGCACAAAATAATTATGGCAGATGTAGAAAAAGTTATGTTTGTCTAGACCTTTATCCGGGCTAAAAATAGCATTCAGTATTGAAAGTTAACCCGTGTGCTTCACGTATAAGACACAGGTAACTTTTTTGAGACCAATTTTAGGAAAAAAAGTGTGTCTTATATTCCGTCAAATACGGTATCTTCCTTTAACACAACTAACATACTTGCCTTTAAATTTTCTTTATTAATAAACCATTTGGTGTGGTGTTGGAGATGATTTAAATAATCAGTTTGCCAATGTTTCTAAATAACTTGGATGAACTTGTAATAACTTGCCATTTAGAAAGTCTGTTATCTGTAAGATAAGACAAGTCCGGTTCAGGATATGAAGTAATGGAACGTCCAATTAAAAAAAACGACCCGACATTAAGGCTTCAAAGTCATTCACATCTGTTGATAAAAGTAAAATTGGATGATAATTGAGAATACATTCAATCTGTGTGACAACAGTCCAAAATTCTTCTAAAGTCAATTTATAATTGCCGATTGTATGCTGAAAATGATATTTAAATGACTTAATACCTGCTTTCCATAAACCACCAAATTTTGGTGCATACCTTCAGATGTTAAGATATAGTTAATTAAATTTAAGGACTATTTTATGCAATTTTTTCAGTTCTGATTTTGCACCAACTATATTAGTACTGTTATTTGACATTATGGTATTACATTTTCCATGTCTAGCAATAAATCTTTTAAAAGCAGCAAGTAATGCATCTGTAGTTAAATCATTTACTACCTCTAAATGTATTGTTTTAGCTAATTGTGTAGCTAAACATATGAATATAGCAACATACATTTTTGCATAATTACCCTTTTTCTGATTTTTACACTTGATGAGAAATGGACCAGAAACATGGAGCCCACAAGTATTAAATACAAATCCTTGGTTAACTCTTTCACCAAGTAAATTTCCCATAAGTTGTTCATATACATTGGCTTAACCTTAAAATATGTTACGCATTCATGTACAAGCTTTCAAGCTATATCTCGACCGTTAATAACCCAAAGTTTACTATGAACCTGATGCAATAGTGCTTGCACACCAAGATGTAAATATTTAACATGTTAATACTGAAAGATTAATGTAGTAAATACATGATCTTTTGGCATTACATAAGGAAATTTTTTATTGTAATTAAGATTACTATTGGCCACTCTCAGAAAAGAATCATTTTCTAGAAATGGACAACACAATTCTTATTTTTTAAGGATAGAATATCCTTGCTTAAAATGTTGTAATTGTACAAACCTGATCATGATTTTCTCAACGTCATCCAATTCTTTAACAGTTAGAGAATGTATTAATTTTTTTCGTTTTTACAATTGGCTTAAATCTGCAAACAAAACTCAACACACGAATAATACGAATATAGTTATTACTAATGTTAAAAATATGATCTTAAGCAAGAGAATTAGAGTTCATGTTTAAATTAACTAAGTCATTGCCCTCATAAGTTTGAGTTCTTTGCCGAATTCCACCTCAGCCATATCAGATGAAATTACTTCATAAGGCTTAGTCAAAAACCTCTCCTTAGTCAAGAAAGTTGGTCCATACCGCCATAAATCATTATGAAGAAGATCCTTAGGTTCAGCTGCATGTGATATCAATTCAGCTGGATTCTTATGAGTGCTAACTGGGTATCACTCATGAACAGCAAGCATTGTACTTTCAAATTTTTACAGGACTAGTTTCGATGGTTTTACCAAATCATCATCCTCAGCTGCAAAAGTGCAAAATGAACGAGATAAGATATTGTGTTAGATAAGATAAGATAACATAGACAGGAGTCAAGCTACTGCCGCCATCTCTTGATGAAACCAGAACTAAAACATGATTTCGTCAAAGGCAGAAGGCAAAGATGGATTGGAATTATGGTCATTAACTATAACAGAAAGATTTTTTTGAATGTGAAATGCCTCTAAAAAATCCAGTTCACCAATGGAAGATGTTTTTTGAATAATTTTTGCAGCAGAAAAATTGAAAGTGTGATTTTTGGACCATCAATGCTGGGCAACAGAATACTTCTGTGTTTCCTTTTTTGTAACATATGCCTCATGTTCTTTAATGTGAATTAAGTCTCTCTTAGTTTGATCAATGTAAATTAAACCACACTGGCAAGGAATCCTAGGAATTCATATCGAGAATGGTGTGCTTGAGTATGGAACCCGGAATTTTATTGATGGGAGAATAAACGACCCCGAAAGTTAAATTTTTGTAAAATACGTGCAACTTTATAGCTAATTGATGGAAAGAAGGGAATGACAACAGAATTCTTACAATCTCCTAAAACAAGAGTGTGTCTTCTGGTGTGTTGAGATGAGAATTTCTTAACTGCTTGATTAATAATGTTGGGTGAAAAGCCTCTGTCAATAGCTACTGCTTTTAAATAATTTAGTTCTTCATCAAGAGATAGTTTGGAGGAGCAAACTTGAAGAGCACGGAAAACATAGGAATAAAATGAAGCTAACTTTTTTTTAGTCGGATGATATGATTTGAAGTGTGGTGCAAGGCAAACCGATGAAGGTTTACGGTAAACCGTAGTACCAGTAACCAGTGTGGTAACCATAGTAAAACAGTGGGGTTTAATTTACATTGGTCAAACTAAGAGAGCCTTAAAATTTTGCATTAAGGAACATGAGGCATATCTTAGAAAAAAGGAAACACAGAAGTCTTCTGTTGCCCAGCATTGTTGATCCGAAAATCACACTTTAAATTTTTCTGGTGCCAGAATTATTCAAAAAATATCTTCCATTGGTGAACTGTATTTTTTAGAGGCATTTCACATTTAAAAAATCTTTCTGTTCTAGTTTATGACCCTAATTCCAATCCATCTTTGCCTTCAGCCTTTAAGGAAATTATGTTTTAGTTCTAGTTTCATCAACAGATGGCGCCAGTAGCTTGACTCCTGTGTATGTTATCTTATCTCATCTCGTTCATTTGCACTTTTGCAGCTGAGGATGATGATTCGGTAAAAATATAGTCCTGCGAAAATTTATAAGTATAATGCTGATTTTTTTGTTTGACTTCTAAATTA